GTATAAAAATAGTTTGGAAAGGAAATACTGCCAATGCTTTTATGAAATAAAGGAAGAAAAGTTTAGATGAAGTTCCTTCAGGGGCAAATGGATAAATACATTTTTTGTAGCAGTATTTAAAAGTATTACATGTTCACTTTAAACTATTACCAACAGAAACTTACCAGATGATTATACTTTTTAAGGGCAGATTTTTTGTCTTTATGTGTGATGTATTCAGGTACATCTCATACATATCTTACATCGGTTCAGTTTTATCACCACCTTATATGAAAACCTTTTTCCATCTCAGCTTCTATAGTTTTACACTGGAAATCAGCTGTTTGCCACTAGAGGGCAGCACTTCTTTATAAGATCCTAACCACTCATCTTAATAATATTTAAGCAACATTTTTGAGCCATGTTTCAGAATGATTAAGGTGGAAACATCCACAAAGGTCCAGGTAAGGATGAGGACAGTTTTATTGTGAAAAACCAAACTGGAAAGCAGACGTTGAGAAATATTGGAGGACAAAGAGCCAGAGCTGAAATGACAGGCTGTGATCGTAGTTTAGGGTTAGGCTCTTCTGGTAATCCTTCATCCACAGGTCCCTGAGGRGAGAGTGAGACTGCAGACTGAAATTTTCAGGTTCCTTACTGGAGAATTTGAATCTTTATGTTCCAATRTTAGGAAGGTGAGTTGCATCTTAGGGATGAGATGGACGAGGAAACAGGCAGGCAGATGACAGACTTTAGCTTCTCATCAAACYCTAATTTCATCAGAGGAATAAAGAAAGTAATTAGGAATGGAGGAAATAAGGCAGCAAGGAGTTCCAGTGATTTATACAGGAACTGGATCTTAATGCTTCAAACGACCATTCAACTGAGCTGTTCAGTGACATCATCACGTACAGGTGTGGGGATGCACACCAGACATACTGGGACCATTCCACCAGTGAGGGGCTCAGATCATCAGAATCACATTTACAAATGAACCCTACAGAGCAGCTGATTCAACATTTGATTGGCAGRAGTTAAAGTTATGTTTCATATCTCATGAGTGAAGGTTCCCATTGCTTCATGTTTTAATGATAACCTTGTTATTAGTCCACTGTTAAATTTCCTTTTGTTATGAAAGCTATCATCCATAAAGTAGCTCACACATTCAGTAATTAWTCTGACAAAATGTTTCCTTTGAGAAAAACATGTTTTCATYYTATAAATGTTTAAACATCCAGACTTTATCTTAACTAGACGTACAACAAATCAGTCATTTTCACCTTTGAACTGTTTTAGAAACCTTATAACTTGTCTTACATGTTCTTTCTTTTACCGTTTTATTTATGATTCAATGAAACTGATTCTTGCTGGTCCCAAAAGGTGGTTCCAGTCTCAACCAGTGGTTTCTGGTCCCCTGCCTGCTGCCTCAGGACACTACAGGGTTTATCAAACATGCATGTTTTTGATGAGAGGAGAACATTATAACATGATATAACATGAAAAGCTCAAAAAAGTTGATTTTACATGATATTTCCCCTTTAAAATTTATTGTGGAAACGAAGGAAAACAACAGTCAAACAGTCAGTAAGATATTAAACTTTCATTTGTTTCTTCAGCACTTTTATTTGTATCCTTTCAACATTCTTTTGATATAGTGATTTTTCCGCACCTTGTAGATTTAACAGTGAATTCATTACAGAATTAACATACTGCAATTTTCTAGGGTCTGCAAATCTAAAAACACTAGATAATTTAAAAATCAAAGATAAAAAAATAAGTAGGTCCTCTGTATGGGTTCTTCTTTAATCATTAAAGAAGAACACATACAGAGGACCTACTTATTTATTTATTTTTGATTTTTCTACCTGGATTACTGAGATGCATCAGGACACTAGAAAACTTAGTAAAATGTGTAAAAAATTATATATATATAA